ATTGGATAGTACTCACTGGAGATTCTGCCTTCCTCCATGCCCCCTAGCTCTAGGTTCCCTCTTGAAAGCTTGTAGGCCAGTCACTTCTTGCCTTTGTGGTCCCTCTCTCTCATTTGGGTATCCAATGTCCAAGTTGCCCATCTCTGTCTACTCTGTGTGTGGAGGGGGTGGGAATGTTTCTTGCTGTGAGAGTTTGTTCCCTCTTTTGGGTTACTGCATCCATAGGTGTAGGTCAAGTTCATCAAATTGTCTCAGATCACTTTTTTTCTTCCCTCTTCTTTCTTCTCCTGGTTGAGTTCTGATCATCCATGCCTCAGGACCAGGTCACGTGGGTATCATCTGCAAGTGTGGGGGTTCTTGTGCGTATGCCCTCTCTTCCTATCAGCTAGTAGCTTCACTCTCCACTCTTGTCCTCTGTGACCATGCCGCTGACTCTGGGCCCAAGAGTCCCCAGGTCTCCCCACACTGCTGGCCAACCAGGTCCCCATCTGGGTCCACAGAAGCCCACCGAACATTGTAGGGCTTAGCTTGCCGCTTCATTGCTGCTTTTACCCTACTTCCCCCTATCGGCGATGCGTGTGGTCACCAATCAGGGCGTGTATTTCCATTGAGTCTTAGTCTTGGAAGGGGCTTTGCATTAAGGGGACCCAACCACTTGCCTTGATGTTTCCTGGACAAGCAATTTGTTTGTTCTTGTAGTAACAGTCCATCTGCCTCTATTGTTTTGTATTTTTCCTGTAGGTCTTTCTTTCAAGAAGTATCTTTTGTTCTTCTAGCCGCTCCAGGCTGGTTTGCTTGACCTTTAAAGTGGGAGTTTCCCATCTCTGGAGATCTGAATGTGGTTCAGGTTTCTACCTATAGTCTTATGTATTGCAGAGGCTCTGCAGGAAGCCTCATTCCCTGGGCACTTTGTAGCCCCATTTTAGGTATTCCAATCAGTTACAAGCAGAAGACAGACTTACAAGCTTTCTATGGTGATATTTCTGACTATTCCTTTCTCTCCCCCTCCGTTGTCTATTTTATATTATAATGCAAGGAAAACCAAGATTCAAAAGACTGCTGAGCATCTTAACATTATTTCCCCCCTTTCCCCATTCCAACCATGGGTCAATCTCTGTATCCCAGAGCCCTGTAGTTCCAAGGTTGTGCATATATCATTATTTATCTCTGTCCCACTTAGCCCATTCAAACATGCCTACTTGTTCTCCCATCTGCTTTGTTCTTCCGTTTCCCTTTCCCTCCTTGTATAATGCCCCCGTCCCTAGCACACAAACTTTCCTGTGTCTAATCCCTACCCTGTGCTCCACCTTCCCTCCCCTCCCCTTCCCACCCCACCAACTTCCCAGCAATCAACAAAAAATTCCCCTTACCCCCCTTTAGTATGGTTTCTTTTTCTTAGTCTTTTACAGTAGTGGTCCTAGGCAATATTTCTCTTTTTGTGACTGACTAATTTCACTCAACATAATGTACAAGGTTCATCCATGTTATGCGGTGGCTTGCCGCTTCCTTGTTATTCTTCAAGGTAGCATAATATTCCATTGTGTGTATGTACCACAGTTTGTTTATCCATTCTTCAGTTGATG